GAACCATTACTTGCTAAAGTGCAAAATATGTGCTTGAATCGTGCTATCCGTACGACAAGGAAGCAAATTTACACTAGTATCGCAAAACTGATCAAGGTCGAAAACGCAATTTTTGATCAGAGCCCCGACTTCTTAACACAGGAGAATACTCGGCTTACAGCTATACAAGAAAGACTAACGAACACCTTGAAGAAGCGCTATCAACAGAAACTGAAATGGATCAGACGGAGGCAAATACCCCATAATAACCCACATCCTTCGTTCTCATACCTCGTGTGGGATGACTTGATGTTACCGAATTACGTAGCGAAAGTGTTGAGCTTAGGACCCAAGTTTGCACCCTACCCGTCCATAGAAGACTTAAATCCTATCCCGGAATTGGAATCTCTAATAACAGGCCTACCTGATAAGGTAAAGGAGTACTATAGATGGAAGGCCACGCACAAACTTAAAAATTCCTTCCAACCGCAAGATACGAAACAAGTGAGAGCTAATTTGGAACGGACTAGAAGATGGATGCATCGTAATAAAGTCACATTGGTCAGAGCGGACAAAAGCCAATCCATCGTTCTCATGAAACGGGATACATATAATCGACTACTAGAGGAGCATATAGCCAACACACAATGCACCATTGCAAATAATAACGCCATTGACAGCTTACAGGCGAGAGTTAAACGTTTTTCCAATACCAAGCTAGCCAAACGCCTGGAATTAAGGAATATCACGATAGACTCCCCAGATACGCCCAGATTATTCGCCTTTGCAAAGGTCCACAAACCTGGACAACAACTAAGACCAATCATTGATAAGGCCAGGGCACCAACCATTCAACTAGAGAAACTAATGCATAAGTTAGTCTCGCCTATACTGGAAGGATATCCTTATGCTCTGACACACCCTTCAGACCTAATATCACTCCTCAAGGAATTATCAGCAACTCCTAGCTTCATAACGGTATTAGACTTTAAATCACTCTACCCGTCTATTAAACTACCGGCAGTATTTTGCGCCGTAAGAGACCTCCTGTTTAACATGGTTAATGATAATAGCTTACACCAACAGATACTAGAATTGGCACATCTTATCTGTTATAACTCTTTTTTCCAATTCAACGGGATCACGTACGGCCAAGGAAGAGGCGTCCCCATGGGTAGCCCCATCGCAGGGGACCTATGCGAAATAGTGGTCAGACAATTAGAAGATATAGTCATCCCTCAATACTCACCTAACATCTTACTATATAAACGATACGTGGATGATATTCTCATCTTATGGAGGATTGAGCCGGATGTTTCAAGGTTCGTTGATTCGTTCAATGATAATCCATACGGCCTGACCTTAGAGATCGATCAAGCTCACGCTTCTGAAGCCCATTTTCTCGACATCAACATCAAGTTCGAACAAACAACTACCCGTACAGAAGTGTACCGGAAACCAGGGGCTGAGCATCTATACATTCCAATAGGATCGTGCGATCCACCGAACTATAAAATGGCAGCCTTCAACGCCTTAATTAGGAGAGCATACTCGCATTCATCGGATCGGATATCCCTACATGCCGAACTAAGACATATTGAACAAATAGCCAACGAACATGGTTATCCCAAGATCGTACGTAAATTGATCCGCAAATGGCGCTGCCGAGAAGTAGCCCTTAACCAAGCACCCAAGGAAGTTCCATCTAACATCATCCCGGTTACATACAATCCGTACCTGAAATCAATTTACAACACAATAGCGAAGAAAAAGAATATTCGCATCGCGTATAGAAGATGCGCCACAATTTTTGACATTTTACGGAACGGGAAAGATACCCCAAACAAAGAACGACGCCCAGGGGTATATACCATCCCAATGATTGATCATAGATGGAACAGAAGCCTGATATACGTAGGATCCACTAAGCGCTCCTTAGAGGTGAGAATTAAAGAACACATGGCGGATATTCTACATGCAAGGCAAAACACCGCTCTTGCCGTCTATGCCTCGGATACGGAAATAGAACCGTTATTCAGCCAGGCCAAGGTAATCCGCACTACAAAGTACACACACCACCTTAGATGGCTAGAGGCCCTGTACATATGTATGGCTACGCTTAAAGACGACAATTGCATTAACAACAAAGACGAGATCATCCTGTCAACTGCATGGCAGGTGCTCGTAGACAAAAAGTTACGTTAATTTAGAACCAGCGAAGGGGCGCATGCGTCAATGACGCCAGCGATACGTACGAGAAAATTCGTAATGATGTTCTTTTTTCAATCAAATTTGAATGGCGTTCGCTTGGACATGTTACCTGAGGAAGAACTTAAAGTTCGAAAGCGCTAGTAATACTTCGTTTACAGAGAAGCACACCGGAAACAGGTTCATTGTACGTTGTTTTTTGATTATTCTATCCCGGTGTAGTGCAGTGCCGATTTAAAGAACTTGCTCTTTATGTAATCTAAAAAAATATACACTTCTAGTATAATTGAACTTTATTAAAGCTATCTTCAAGAGTAAATGCAGGTTTTTCATCTGTCTTCAGATCTGTTATGAAGCTGTGACTCTTGTATTGTGGGCTGCAATTTGAAAAAAGTTGTAGACCTAAAAGTTTCCACTGTCACTGTCTGTCTTTCCTTAATCTTGAAAATAGTGTTAGATAAATGTAATTCAAAACCAGATACGGAAAGCTTATGGTTAGGAGGCCCTGATTAACTATATATGAACTTTGTCAAACTGGACGTCGTATTGTTTCAAATCAAAAATTTTCTCTAGAGTTAGATAGATGCTAATGAAAAAGTATGATTTACAGGGGCAAGACACTACAGTACAGTACTAATTTGAAGAGGAGAGCATTGTAGCCCAGCATTGTGATGATGTCACAATAAATAATTGTTTGTTTATTATCTTTTTTATTTTTATTCCATTTTATGTATTGTGTTATATTCATACTGAGTGGTGTACATTTTCAGTCATCATACCTATCTGTAGAATTTGTTTTCATAAGTATTCTAGTGAATAACTAGTTTAATATTATAGAGATAATTATCAAAAACAAGTATTTTATTATTATTTGTTAGTTATTTCAATATTTGCATTTCAGATGAAAGGTCTTGGTTATTTAGAAAAATATACTTTTAATTATAATGTAATGGATTCAATTGATCAGTGTGAAAAAATGCATGAAAAAATAGAAATTGTTTCTCAGTTAATAAAAAGATTAACTGAGTTAGAGGTAAGAGTTTTTAATATTTTTACATAAAAATATATTAAATCATATGAAATATCTTGTTATTAATTTTATAATTGTTTTTTAATTAGAGCAAATATTCAAAAGAAAATGAAAGAGATAATTCAATTAAAGAAGAATTTACTGGTATTCTTCCTAAATATGACTCATCTCTTGTCCAAATTAAAGCTGATAAAAGTGAAGTGAGTAATTTGTTACATGATACATTTAAAAAACTGTAAGATTAAAAATTAAAATGAAAATCAATGAAAAAAACAGTATAAGGTGACATAAAAATGATGATAAAAGAATTTAAATGATATACAATGGTTACAAACTGATTTTATCTAATGAAGATTCATTTTTTTCTTATTTAAATAGTGTTTAGTTAAAAATTCTCTAAGAAAGTAGCTATAAATATTTATTTTATATAACCATGAATATTTTAATATAGCTGTATGTGAGAAATAAATGTTTTGATAGTTCTTGACCATAATAAATATTATATTTATTTATATCTTATTTAATTAAATTATTTTCTGTTAATTCCTTAACTTTACTATTACATTTTGCAATTTCTTAAACTTTTCTAACACTTTCAATTGGATTGATCTAATAATTGTCATGTCTAAGGTTTTTCAGAGTAATGTCAAATTTTGATTCATTTATATTTGAGTTATTTCTTATTTTTCATAAAAGTGCAAATTTTTTTAATGCCATTTATTTATTTGAAAAAAGAAAATCAAATTTCCTAAATGATATACAGTAGACCCCCCTATAACACGGTGAAAAAATTGCGACAGTATTCGTATAAAGACGCTAAAAGGGACGCGTAAAACGCGGTAACACGTCATCGCCGACTCGTGTCGCGACAGGATTGGTCGAATCTGGACCAATAGTAGACGAGTAGCCGAACTACTTACACGCTATGGACAGTATAAGCGGGTAAGTTGAGTTTACTATCGTCTGTACAGTATGTAAATTAGGTACCGTAAGTCTAATACAGTACTGTAATTTTATACATTTCTTGTGAAAGAAACATTTCTTATTCAACGGCCATTAAAATTCTTATTTCTATTGATGACTNGTTTACTATCGTCTGTACAGTATGTAAATTAGGTACCGTAAGTCTAATACAGTACTGTAATTTTATACATTTCTTGTGAAAGAAACATTTCTTATTCAACGGCCATTAAAATTCTTATTTCTATTAGTGACGTCTCCATAGTTCAACAAATTTTTCGCAGAAAAATAACTTATCGGAAATCGCGGCTACTGTTTGGTGCGCTGCTTCGCGACGAAAACAAGCTTAAGCAATGGTGACGTTGAACGGTGCACACTTGGTAAGTAATCCTACAATTTTTTGTTTATAGCATAGTTTATACGGATTATTCCCAAAAAATTATACGTGTTTTGGAAATGTTGAGTCGAATTAGTCTAGAATCGATTAAGTTTATGGAAGAAAACCTTTCAAACAGCCATAGTCAGTAAACTGCACACATGTCGGGCTGTGATTGGCTCATGTATTTAAGGATTCCTACAATGCAAAATTCGTATAAAGCGAAATGTATCTACCGCGTTATAGGGTGGTCTACTGTATTTAACTGCTGATTTTGACACACACACAAATAAATAATAAATACAATTTTATTCAGTGGTACCTTGGTATACATCTGCTTTAAAATATGTCCAATTCAGAATACGTCCTGTTTGGAAGAAACAAATTTTGCTCGGTATATGACTTTTGTTCGGTATATGACTTAATTCAATTATATGTGCCATCTATGAACAAGTAGCACTATCGGTGTACTAGACCAGACTAGACGTTCGTGGTGCCACGGTTTATAACTTTGTTAAATTTCTTTTGATTTTAATTTGTAAGTAAAATTTTATTATTTTTATTAATCATGAATTGCAAAAAGGCAAATGAAAAGCAACAGAAAAATAAAAAAATTGACCAGAATCACAATGGAACTGAAAAAAGAGATTGTTGAGAAATATGAAGGTGGCGTGCATGTTTGAGATTTAACTGTTGCATACCATATTTTGTGAATGACAAAATATCAGCAATCGTGAGAAATAAAGACATTATTAAATCTGCTAACGTTTCGAAAGGGGTTAAATCAATTTCTAAACATTAGATCATGTTGAGAAATTGCTTTTGCTTTGGATAACTGAAAAACAGTGTGCTGGCGAAAGCATATCAGAAGCAATTATTTGTGAAATGCTGATCTCATGAAAAATCAAGGAGGAACTAGCCAGGAAAGCGAGGTGTCTAAATCCAGCCATTTTTTTCTACACGAGAACAGATTAATCATTTTTACATTACTTCTTATGGGAAGAGTTGGTTTGGTATATATCCTATTCGGTATAAGTCCAAACATCAGGAACCGATTAAGGTCGTATATCGAGGTTCCACTGTATTTAATTTGCTGTTTTTTTGTGTGCATTTTAGATCCTATCATGCTTAGATAAAGAATATTTATTTATATTTAATTAGGAATAATTAATATAACATGTAAATAACATTAAAAAATTTTGTAAAGCTTTGTAACTTTATCTTCACTGTTTTATCTAGTGAATTCTGTTTCAAAATATATGTTAAATAAATTATAATATATTAATATAACTAATCTGAGTATATATTTAACAATACAGTTTGCAATGTACAAATTCCTATAGAATCTGTGATAAAATATGTATTGTAGTTATTAATAAGTTCTTTTTTATTTATGTGGGGTTTAGACGAGTAACATTCCTAAACCGTTAAGACAATAAACTTATGAGGGTTGCGGGGGAGGCAAGGAGAACATGGGAGAGAGTCAAGTAAGGGTAGAAGTGAGAAAGACGACAGTTGGTGACGACGCAAAAGTGAGAAAGGACAAAAAGATGTTATGAAGGCGAGAATATTATCAAATACGTGTAGTCTTCAACCTATATCCGGCATGAAAATTCCAAACTAATATCGGCAAACGCTTTCGATGCCCCTCCTGGGCTCTTCTTCAGGCCAAATTTAATGTACTGGATTCTTAAATAGAATATTTTAAAAAATCTTCGATTTAAGAATCCAGTACATTAAATTTGGCCTGAAGAAGAGCCCAGGAGGGGCATCGAAAGCGTTTGCCTATATTAGTTTGGAATTTTCATGCCGGATATAGGTTGAAGACTACATGTATCGTATTTGTTGTATATGACCCGGTATGGGAGAAATCCTTGAGAATATTATCATTCTATCAAGATGGTTACAATGGTTATGAATGCTGGATTATTGTCATTTCTATTTCTTTATCTTAATAATTATCCCTACAAAATTTGGGGGCTTGTCTGGGATATTAAGAAATTCATACGAGAACTTTTAGAAGAGCAATGGAGTTCAGGCAAGATGGCGGAGTTAGTGACGCTGCGATGAACGACGAAGAACTACGACTGACTGTTGTAACTAAGGACAATACGATGCCGGATGTGAAACATCTTAAGTGTGCTGATCTGAAAATAGAACTAGGACAACGAAAATTGAAAACCATGGGTAGCAAAAGAGAGTTAGTGCAAAGATTGGAGGCAGATTGAGAACACCAGAGACAATGACGATGCTGATGAAAGTGAGGACGAAAATAGTGATATTATGTGACATACAAGTGAATACTCTAAGCCAATGTTTACCTTTAGAGATGTTGATGAATCCCTTGAAACGTTCAGTGGTGACGATGGAAAGAATGTTGTAAAGTGGATCTCTAATTTTGAAGACATGGCAGAAATGTGTAACTGGAATGGCATGCAGAAGACAATTTACGCAAAACGACTACTTAAGAGGTTCAACGAGAATGTACATTAACTACGAACAATGTACTAAATCATGGCGAGCATTAAAAGAAGCCCTTTGTGCCGAATTTTCTCCAAAACTGAACAGTAGGAAGATTCATATAAGCAACTGTCGATGGAAGTGAAGCATCAGAATGAAACTTATCAGGAATATATGTATCGGATGATTGAAATTTCGTCACAAATTACGATTGAGGATGAATCGGTGATACAATACATCATTGATGTAATTCAGGATGAGCAAGTAAGCAAGACAGTGCTTTATGGTGCTACTACTTTCAAAGAATTTTGACAAAAGCTGCAAATTTATGAAAACATGAAATCAAGTTTTAAGCCAAATGCCATAATGACGGTGGGATCTAAGAAGCTAGGGCATGAGATTAAGCTTAATAATTCTTAAAGAGATGAAAAACATTGCTATAACTGTGGCGGGAAAAACCATGTGAGTAAAAGTTGTCCGGAAAAAGACAAAGGAATGAAATGATTTAGTTGTAATAATTTTGGTCATATTTCGGCTCAATGTCCTCAAAATGTTGAGAAGAGAAGTTATGAAGTAAAGGTAGAAGAATTTAAGTCAAAGCCTATAAAAGAAGTCAAAATAGAGGAAGTGAGCTTCACAGTACTTATAGACTCAGGAAGTGATATAAATTTAATGAGAGCCGACGATTACGTAAAGTTGGGTGCACCAAAATTAATTAATAATTCCTTAGAATTTCATGGAGTAAGTGAACGAAAGAGTTCTACACTGGGGAGTTTTTGGACTGTAGTAAGTGTTGACAAAGACCAATTTTCAATTCCCATACATGTGGTTCCAAGTTCATTCTTTGCTTATCAGTTATCATTGGGAGCAGACTTTCTGACTTTTTGAAACAAGTTCATATCAGTTTAAAAGAAGGTCGTGTTGTAAAAATTATTAAAGCAAGAGGTGTAGAAGTAAACATTTCAGACATATACAATATCGATGTTGCCTGCGTTGATGTTGGTGGTGTTGGTTTGAGCCGCACCAATGATGCAAAATTTAGAGGAGTGCCTCTGAATCCAACAAGAAACTACAAAGCAGCCAGGGAACAAGGAACAGGGATCAAAATGAACATTATTTTAAAAAATGATGCTTCAGTTTGTCAATGTCCAAGACAGCTATCTGCTAGTAAGAAGGCTGAAGTTAATAAGGAGATGGAAGAATGGTTATACAAAACATTTGAACCACCCTAAGATGATGAAGGAAAAGTAGAAGCGCAAGGAATAACAAAACTTTGTGACCAGTCAAAAGAAGAAAGAGAAGCTTCACATAAGTCTTCAGAACTTAATCATTGGTTACAGCAACATCATGCATTAAACATTAAGCAAGCAGAAGTTGCAGTTGTTCAGGAGAAACAGATGGAAGTTTGTGGTGCCTTTTTGATACTTGGTGATGCACAGCAACATGTGATGAGCATTCAATGGAAAAACAGCATTTTGGTTACTCAAGATTAAAATCAGCAGGTGAAGAAATTGTTCATAAGAGAAAAAGAGAGCAAGAAGAACGAAAGCAACAGGAAGAAGAAAAACACAGACAAAATTATCATAGTAGATTGGATAATCGAAAATGTGACATGAGACAAAATAGACGCTCAAGAAGTAGAAAACATGGAAGCAGAAGTAGAGATAGATCTTATTATAATAGAAGAGGATATTATAAAGAAAGAAAAAAAATGAAAGAAATATCTAAATATAGATCTAGATCAAGAAGTCTTGATCAAAGATGACGTGACAATTATACTCAATCATGTGATTCAAAATATTGAAGATGGTCTAGAAAATCTGCAAAAATTAGAGCAACATCAAGGGAGAACATTAAATTAATTAAAAAACTGCAAGCGGACAACATGAAACCGGATGTCAGCTGTCAGGATGGCCGAATGTGGGGTTTAGATGAGTAACATTCCTAAACCGTTAAGACAATAAATTTATGAGGGGTTGCAGGGGAGGCGAGGAGAACGAGGGAGAGAGTCAAGTAAGGGGAGAAGTGAGAAAGACGACAGTTGGTGACGACGCAAAAGTGAGAAACGACAAAAAGACATTACGAAGGCGAGAATATTATTATTCTATCAAGACGGTTACGAACGTTGGATTATTGTCATTTCTATTTCTCTATCTCAATAATTATCCCAAAATTTATGATAAATTTTATAGGTTTACTTATTTAGATATTTATGTAAATAAATATAAGTATACAATTAATATTAGTTTGCATATATACAAATAGTGTGAGATCCGAATAGTCCCCGGGTCTAAAATAATAATTTAAAAGGAAAGTAAAAATCTTTACAGAAAAATATTCTTTCATTTTGATGGGAAAATAATGTTTTTCTAGCATGGGAAAACAGCTAGGAGAATCACTTCCTTTGACGGAAGTATGAGCATCCTCTGTTTTCCCCTTATCTGTTAAAAATCTTGCTTCGATGGGAACTGCCTACCCCCCTTTCTTCCCCTTCCCATCCGTTCATGTGGAAAAATCCTAGAATGATAATTGGTCGTAAATCCGAAGATATAGTCGAAGTTCAGTTGAATTTGGGAGTTGGTCAGCAGTTCTGAAAGTGACAGGACTCTACTCATTTGCTCTCTAAGGCCAATGCCCTTAAGAGTTCGTCCGTAGATCGGAGAGTGGAAAGGACTCCACACATATGCTAGCAGACCAACGCCATAGTCATCCCCTATCAAGTTAATCCTAAGTTATCAACGAAGGACCTTTGCCAAATAAGAAGACGACAAAGCCATTTAAACAGGTTGTATGTTATTTAAGGAATTGTGAGATCTCTCTCTCGTAAATGTATAGGTTAAGAATACATTTCTCTCCCGACGTGATTGATTTGATTATTTGTTTCTCGATTGATTGTTTGGGATTATTTGATTATTTCCTATTCTGTATAGTATTGTTTATTTTGTTTATTAAATGTTCTATATTTTTTCAAGGAAATGTTTCGTGTCGATTCTCTGAATCAGATCTATGACATAAATTTCATGCGTGTTTATCCGTGTTATGGGAAGTAGATAAACTGGTGTCAACAGGAATCCTGACGTTGGATAGAGACTTCACCATCTACATCCTATTTAATATTTAAAAGCCCTTCTGGTCAAAAATCTTGACGTAACATCGGATCTCGTGATCCGAAACTTTGGAGAACTAGTTACCGACTAGCGCCGATTAAGTGGTACTAACTATCCTAACGAAGTAATACCCCCAGCTGATCTCACATATGTATTTCTTTCTAATAGTGATATTACAGTTTTAATTTTTAGAATTAATGTAACAAAACATGAAACCTTTAAAATAAATTAGTTTTTAAATTAGAATAAGTTTATTTTCACAGAGTTTTTTAACTTTTATTAATAAGTCTGCAAATTTATTTATTTCAACAATTACATTATCCAGTTAAATAAAAGAATTGAAGCTTTTATGAAAAGAAAAAGGAAAGAAGTTGATGAATGGAATGTTCAAGAATTTTGTAGTCATCCTGTTATTGATGAAAATGAATCAGATTGGGGTAAGAATTATTATAAGAAACAATCTTCTGTTATGTTTTTGAAAATAAATTCCAATGCATTTTTATTATTTAATTTCTTAGATACTATAATCAAAAACCAATGTCAAGTTTTTATTTTATAAAATTTATGATTTTGAAAGGATTATAGAATGATTAACAATTACATAATTAATTACACAAAATACTTTTAAAAATAAATTTTATTTAGTATGAAGCTAAAACTAGCAATATTTGCTGGATATAATCATTTACTTTTATAACCATTTAAAAGGATATTTTGGATGAATAAATCTAAATGTTATATTATTCGAATTCAACATTAACCTAGAATTACTCAGAAGATAATTGTATTCTCAGATATTTTATTTAAATGCATTTTGGATTGGAATTCTCACTAATCCCTCTTCAGTTAGAGGTACAATCTGCAACAGAGCTTACACCAATATTTGGGAAACTTCGATATGAATTACTAGTAACCATCAGCCTGCATTACACAACATACTTTTATTCTTATATATGATGTCTTTCCATACATCATCTATTAACATCTATCAATAAATTTCATGTTTAGAATAAATGGATAGATTCTATAAAAGTTATTTTATAGAAAAATATGCAAAACCCCAAATATTTGATAAAATGAGCTTTAATGGTCATTTTATCAAATGAATCATTTTAGTTTATTGCTTCTGATGTAAAATCTAATGACACATGATGAAAGTATTTACTTAAAAACTCTTATTTCCTATCTGCTTTTGATGTTTCTTTAAAATGTAATTATTGTCTACTGAATTATATTATTTTACAGTAAATTGCTGTTACTGATTGTTCTAAGAATTGTTTTCTTCATTGTTTGAGAGTAATATTTTAACCTTTAAGTATTTTTATAAAATACTAGCTGCAAGTACCTGCTTTGCTGGGGTTTTATTTATTCATACATTTATATGCAACATAGTTTTTTTTATATAAAAGCCCGGTGTTGCTCGGGCGTAAAGTAAAGATAGCAAAGATTAAGATAATTACATTATAGCCAATCTTACCTATATTCACAGAATGCCAGAATTAGGTCCCCCATTTCCAGACTAGAGAATTTTTACATTGGTCTAAAAATATGTTTGATTTTCCACAAAAACGCAAAAAACCACATCTGTGCCTGTAAATCTTGCACATTGCTTTCTCTTAACACTTCCATTCTTGACACTTCCATTGTTAACACTTTCATTCTTAACACTTCCATTGTTAAGGAATACATTTCTTTTATCCCCCCTGGTACCCTACTAAATGTGGTAGCCTACTAAAGCACAGTCAAAAGCGCAAAAACCAGCATCTAAAATAGTACAATAGAAGCCAAGTTCTTCAGGATAAGCCTTAATCCTCTCCCTCTCCCCTGTTGGGGAGAATTTTGAAAAATTCCTTCTTGGTGGGCGTTTTCATGACGTACTTTAACTGTGTACCAAATTTCAGCTTTCAACTCCTAACCGTTTTTGCTCTTTGCTTATTATTTTAATTTGATGTGTAATTCTAGAAAAAACTGGAACATTCTCATTGAAATGTTACACATTTTTGAAGTTAATCACTTTCAACCCCCATATTGAGATGCAAGCACCATACTGCACGATGGGAGACTTGGGGATACTACCACACACAAACACCATTCATGTGCAATGTGTAGTTTTGGCTGCAGAGTGAAATATAGGGACAAACACTTCCATTTTTATATATATAGATGATGATACAATGCTATGCAAAGATACATAGGGAAAGGTGGGGCAAAACATAGTTGTTAATGAAATATTATGTTTTTATAATTAACTAGTTAAACTCTAGGGAAAACCTGTTTGTCATTGAATACTCAAAGATGTTTATTTCAACTACAATCAACAAAAACCTCAAATTAATAAGTTGTTTTTTCTTTTTTTACAATGTTTTTGAAATCATGTCAAACACCCCATCTTGCCCTCTAGGTGGGGTAAGATAGGACACATTTTGGGATGATACGGAATGGTTCAAATTAAATTTATTTTTCATAATTACAAAGATTAAATAACAAACTAGCAATGAAACAATATTTAGGGTATATTACAGATATTTTTATACTACAACTTTTATTTTTCTAGAAGACATAAATGCATAATTCTGGTGAATTTCATTGTCCTCATCATCTTCACTGGCATATGAGGAATGTGCCTATTTGTGATATATTACACAACCTATCCAATCTTTGTTGAGACAGAATACAAATATCAACTGAAAAGACATTCAGTGTCAAAATAAACATGCTGAAGTAATGCCACTTGGCCCCACCTTACCTTGATTTTGAAGTCTTTTTTAAACTGTTTGGTAATCAATAATACTATAAAAGATTTTATACAGTCATGTGAAGGTAAAAGATTTCTCTACTTAGAATCAAAGAAAGAATCAAAAAATTAGGAAATTTTGCATTACTTACATTATGTGTTTTTAAAAACACAAATTACATGAAATACATTTTTTGTTTTCATAGGCAAAAAACATTGAACAACAACAGGAATTTTACTGTCATCTACTTGTGATTTTCAAATTTAGTTGCAATATTTTTCATTAACTTACCAAATGCAATGCAGGCTATACCCCATCTTGCTTTCCTATCTTGTCTTGCTCCACCTATATTAAACAAAATTTATTTTATAAAGAGAGAATTGTAAGAAAAGTGACAAAATTTTTAATGCTGTGACAGATGCAATTATTTATTTGATATATATATAGTTTCTGACTACTGTGTGTACCAACATTTAACAAAATCACATATGGTTTTTAAACCTGAGTGTTGATGGGTACATTAGCTAGTTTTGTTATATTTCAAAATTTTTTAATGAAAAATTGTTCAAAATAGTATAATTAATCCTTAAGCTTCAGTTTTGAAGATAAGTTTTAATAGTGAAAAAAATGAAATTATGGAAAGTTTAAATTATAGAAATGAAAGCTTTCTGTATACAGTAATACCCCGAACTTACGCGATAGGTGGGACTGAGCAATAACCGCGTAAGTCGAATTTGCGTAAGTCGGGGTATAATTTCGCAATTTGTGTAAAATCCAAATCGGATGTATGTAAGCTAATAAATGTTCTCGTTAATCTTATCTCGTCTTTTGATTCGTTCACGGTTACAAGAAATCACCACATAGAGTCTTTCGAGTCTCTGTAGATATAACAGACACAGAAATAAATAACACAAAATAAATTGTAGCTATGTGTCGATTCCGTGCGACACGTCCGAACACGTAAGCCAAACAATAGTGTTAGGGGAATGAGTAATCAAGATACGTGTGGCACTCAAACAAAAGACGAATCGACGAGATTTGAAAATCGCGTAACTCCAGGTTTGCATAAGTCGGGGTAGTGTACGTCGAGGTATTACTGTATTTATTTTTTTAACTCTTTTTGTCCTGTTGGTAATAAGAAGGTTGTTTTTAATCATACCCATTATGGATTCAGCCAAGCCCACAATGGTGTGGCCAGGTGGTGAGGGATGAGGAATGACATCTTAGATAGACCCATGAAAAATTCCTGGGGTGCTGCTTGTTTAGATTTGATCTAAGGTAGCTTAAGCATCATGGTCGTCTGCTTGGTCATTTTCTTTAAGTTATTTCTAGAATTTAATTCTATTTCTATTTAAGGCTTCTTAACTTAACAAGAAAATTTTTACACCAGAACTTGTGTTAATTTTATATATTTACAGTAAATTTATAGTATATTCACTATCCATTTAGCTAATTAAATGGATAAATAAAATCCAAAAGTCTTGTTACTTAAAAATTAGTTTTTAACATTTTATTGAATTTTGTATGATATTTTGTAACTGATTTCTGCATTTTGTTTCTGAATATCACATAATTAGTTTTGGGAAAAGATACATATTTTAAGATAATAAAATAGGGAAGATTAAATTAATATACAATACTATTTTTTACTGTATATGAATACATACTTAAAATGCTGTATGAATCATTAAAATAAATTATTATTGAAATAACTGATATCTTTTTAGCAGATTTTGATAGTTGTGCAAGAATTGATGCAGTTTTCATACCAAGATCTGGTAGTAAGAGCCATGTTAGAGGTAATGAAATAAAAAATAAATATAACTGTATTACAATAAATTATTTTTAAATTAAGAATTATTACATTTTAGTATCAAGAGTTATAAATCAGTGGGGACCTCAAACATACTTTTCATCATGTAAAAATTCTCTTCCTGAAATAAAAACTGAACAGAAAACAGAAACATTACCACAAGGAATTGAAGAGAGATTGAAAAATATGGAATCACATTTAAAACTTAAATCAGGTAAGAATTTTATCAAAATTGAAATCAGGTTCATTAAAATATGAATGAAGCAGAATAATACTTATTTCAAAATCTTTTTATAGATTTTTGCTTTAAAGAGTGATTAGGATTAGTATGAATTTTGTTTACAATAAGTTTTTTGTTGTTGCTAGAAATAATTAAAATTTCTTGAGCATTCAGTGCTTCAAAATTGTAAATGTCTTCAGGCATGTAACTTGAGATCTTAAATTATGCAGTAAAATATTTACTAATCGAATGTTTATTGATCATCATTAGGAATATATGCATTGTGTAATTTAAGAAGAAAGAACAAAGCCACCCATATTCAAAAAATTATAACCTTTCATTTTTGGAATAAGACAAATTTGTAAAATTGCATGTATTGGTTTTTACATATTGAATGGAATATTGTATGATGTGTTACAAAAACAAAATATATGAAACGTATTTTATATATATAGTGAAATAAACTATGTATAAAAACAATCTAAATTATATTTTCCAATTTTTACTCTAGTACCTGCCAAATTAATCACTACAGTACAATCAACTACTGTGCATTCTTCAGCATTCTCTTATATAGCTCACCCTTAAGTTTTATTTATCAATACTTTCCAGGCTGGTGAAACTGTACTGTTTTCTGTATAACTTACTTCCTGCCCTCCCTCTGTAGCCTTATGAATGTGCCATGCTTCCACATATTTAATCTGTCACTTATTCTGAACTTTTTGGATCATTCCAACTCAATTCCATAAAGATAACATACAAAAGGAGCAGCCAGCTACAGCCTTAGCTGTAACTGGCTGTTCCTTTTGGATGTTATCTTTATGTTCATTGAACAGAAAAACAAGGAACCTCTGTTTTAGTGACATTGTAATGGCTTCGATGTAGCTTAAGTCATTATGCCTTCTATTGTCTTGGTATTCTGTACACACCAGGGATGCATGCCAAGTCAATGGCCTTCTTGTCATTCCTTAACATCTTGTATACTGGGTGCTTCTCTTAAATACGAATTTCTTGTCATTTTCAATCCTGATTTCTCTGTAGACTTGTGGAGGATTACCATGTATTTATCAACTGCAAAATCATTCTGCATGTCATATCTTCTTATCTCAGTGTCTTCTGTTTCCCATTTGTTGATCATTCTCTTTATTGTTTTTCTCTTGTCCCAATCTGACATGCCGTCTCTTCAATGTATTCTAGTTCTCTTATCCATTCTTGTATATTAGTGCAATGAGAATATGCACATTTTATGAGAGTCCTAAATGCTGCTAATCTACAGCTTACTGGGTCTTGTGAGGCCCATTGTATGAATATTGCTTTGCACATCAGTTTCCTGTAAATATCCTTGGTGATGTTGCCTTCCTTTAATGTGATCGAGATGTCTAGAAAGTGCGCAGCATCACTTTCCTATTCCAGTTCTATTTCCAAGCCAAATGTGTTGGAATTATTGTTTCATTAGTAAATATTTTACTGCATAATTCATGATTCCATGTTTGTTGTTTTGATAGGGCAGATACAGAAAGGACTTGTGATCTTTTTACCTATTTCTGTTATCAACTTGTCTTTCTGTTTATAGTGACCACTAGAAGATGCTGATTTTCTATGCTGTCTAATTTATTCAGCTATTCAGTCAGTTATGAGAAAATTTTGTATTTTGAATGATCAGCTTGTTTTGGAAATTTTTCAGTTTTCTTAATGATCATAATGTCACTTAATTGTCTATTAATTGTTAAAATTTCATATTTTCACAAAACCATTCAAACAATTGATCATCTAGTTCTTGATATATATATTATCTATTTCTTTTAAATTTGTTTATTTTTGAATTATCAGGTGGAATTATTTGAATTACATGAGAATTTAAATTCATTTTTATCTAGATTGCAAATTGTGATTGAGATGGAATTCAGATATATGCTTCTGCTGAAGTAATTTTTTTTGTTATAAGATGATATATGCTACTCATCTTTCTTTCCCATATCTGAAGTGTAGTAGCCAAATAAAATAGTAATAAAGGCTGCTTTATAACCAAAGAGACTAAAAATGTATTTATAATCAGACTAAAACAATACTTACAGTCTTAAAAAACAAAGCCAAAAGTAATGTGTACAATGCTAACTGCTGGCACCTTCAAGTGTGATATTGCATAGAATAGGCAGGACTAATAAATGACTGACTTTAGACTTTAGAGAGGTATGATTTTAGCATCATTGATATGCGTAGGACTCAAATTGGAATTAGCCACTTTGAGTAATCTGAGAGGGTATAAATTTAGTGTGTGATTTTAGACAGATCTAAAAATATTGAAAAACCAGCTCTTCAATTATCTTTTGATTGTAATTACATGTTTTTAATATGAAATTAATTTTTTCATCCAAGACAAGGTATTTCAAGAGTATTGATTTATTTCAGATATTACCACCAGGAAAAAGTGTGGAATCATCACTAATGCTTTCTGACATTTACAATTCTCTCATGTCATTACTGCAATTTCATGTATGCTTTACTATAGCAATCATGATAACAAAACTATGTTTTACTTCAATGTTCTACAAAGCACTTCGTGAATTCTTAACATTCATCAAATAAGGAAGGGCTAAACAATGTTATTAATCATGCATGAAGTAACGTCAGTGCAGAAATCTGTAAAAGACTTATGGAATCAGTTCCTAATAAAGTAACAGCTGTAATTAAAGCTAAAGGAGGCAATACAAATTGTTAAATAACGATTTTATGTATGTGATTCCATATTTATTTCCACAGCCTTTTATGATTCCACTTTTTTCCCAACATAATTTGGTTATTTTTGTCCTAAGAAAATTTTTCTTTTGCATTTAACTGCTATTTACAGGTATACCTCGACTTATGTCGTTCCCGATTATACGTCGTTTGTCAAAAAAGTATATGGAAAAATAAAAATCAAGTTTAAGTCATTTTATTCCACTTTACGTCTGTCCGCCACAAATATTAAAGTAGTAATATCACTAGAAAAGCGTTTAAAGCACATAAAACCATATTAAAATATATATATTTACAACTATGTTGTAAATATTTACAACATGTTGTAAGTATTTACAGTACATGCATTCGTAAATTTAGATTACTTTTTTCTGTACGTTATTAAAAACTAAAATTTATTTGTTTGTAAGCTTAAAATAGATCCTTATTAACCATACATTATTAAAAATGCATTAATAAATAAAATACAGAACCGGAATTGGCAATTTATGGTTTAGCCTAGTGACAAGTAGATTTGGAGACAAGTAAATTCGACTTACGTCGTTTTTCGACTTAAGTCGTTTTCCTGGAACCAATTACCGACGTAAGGCGAGGTATACCTGTATTTGTATGGGATTTGCATTTTGGAATGTAGCTTTGTTATCAGTTGATTTCTTTAATATAGCATACACAAAATTGCAATAATGACATGAGAATTGTTAACACTAGAAAATGTGATATCAAACTTTTTCAGGGCAGTTGTATGATATAATCCAATAGCATTATTTTATTTGATAAGTGGGAATATTTGACAATAGAAATTTATCCTCCATTGTATATATATATATTATATAATAAAGCAGTATGAAGTATATATATTTCATACTACTAGTTTTTTGCTTTTCTTTCTTTGCAGGAAGTTTGTTTATTAGGAGATTGATGCTATTAAATTTTGGTGATTAAAGATTCAGGGAGTGGGGAGATAAAGGGGATTGTGTGTCATATTTCTGGACTTAATGACAATTTTATTCATTATTAGCATTTACAAATTTTTAATAAAACTATTCCTATCTTCAAAATTAAGCTTTTGCCACATTATAATTGTGAGTGATCCTCTATCACCACAGGTCCTTTTCTACCAGAAAAACCTTCAAACCAGGAAGATTTGAAATGTTCCTTTTATTCACCAAGCCAATAATGAACCTCGCCTTAATTCTTCAACCTTCCAAATTGCCATTCCATCCTCTGAATTCCAAATCTGTTAATAACATTCTTTCTTTTTGAATTCTTAAATTTTTCTTTTTAGCATTCTTTTTAAATTTAAACTTCAGTATTTTATAACAATAAATAAATTAGCATATAAATATAAATTCTACAAAATATATGCCGTAGAGTTACATACATACATACGTACATAGAACACAGATCACACTAGGGCAGGGGTCAGCAACCTTTTGAGTCGGAAGAGCCAAAATTACAATTTACAAAATTTCAAAGTTTTTAAAGAGCCACAAAATTTTTTCTTGCCAACAATAAATACAGTAGAGCGTTGTTTATCCGAAAGCTGGTTATCCGAAACGTCCGTTATCCGAAAGCATTCCAGTCGGTAAATTTAAGTTTTCGCTAGTGCTGTGGCGCTGCAATCTTCGGCTATTTCTCGGACTACTCAAATATTTTACGTTTTTGATACTAAATTAACATCTGAAGTATAATTTTTTATTGTTTTTATATTTTTCAATAAATTTATTTTGTTTGTACAAAATAAAAAAAATAATTTTTAACGATACAATAGTCTTCGTTAGGCTTAACATCAACGAAAATTCAACGCAAAGCGACACGCAACGGAGAGAAATTTCAACATGGGATAAATTAATATATTTTTTCGTACATGATTTGTTATCCGAAAAATAAGTTATCCGATCCACCCCAGTCCCCAATTGATTCGGATAAACGACGCTCTACTGTAGTACTCGCATAAATAAAGTTTTTTGATAAAAAAAACTAATCTATTTATTCATAAGAAAAAATATCTATTTATTCATATATAAGTAGTGTTTTTCACAACAAATTAGATAATAAAAACATCCGACGACGGCGTCATTCGAGAGCTTCCGACGGACTGACGACAGTGACCACGCGTGTCACGGGGGAGGGGTGCGGTGAAAAGCGAGTACAAGTGTCTGAGAGATAGAATCAGTGCCTAATCCTCGTTAATCGATTCAGAACGATTTTTAAATGTTTTTTTTTTTTTTGATAATATAAATAATATTTGCGTATGGAACTAAAGAGCCGCAGCTTCACATCCAAAGAGCCGCAGGTTGCCGACCCCTGCACTAGGGGGAAGCAAGTGGGTCTGATATCAGTACAATAATAGTTAAAAATAAAATATAACAGATGGCACCACTAAATGTTTTCAGGAAAGTTAAGCAACTTATCTATCTAGAAGACATCTGATAAATTAATTATGGAAAATTATTTTGAGTTTTGATTAGTTAATTAATTATTAAGAAAAAGTGAAAACTTTCTAATCAGAAAAGCTGACTGTATTATTTAATTAACAATTAATAGTTTTTTTTAGATGGCTAATTTGATTGACTTTTAAAATAAGTTATGAAAATTATTACTGAAACAAATTCTTTTTTGAATTTATTTTAAATCAGCAATGAATTAATAATTTCTTTTTTAATTTTTAGCAAATCATTTCTTTCCTAATAAAAATTTTATTCTTAAAAATTATTTCTGTTATACAGTTTAGAGTCAAATGCTTTTTTAAATGTAAGATCAACTATTTTTTTAAGATTAGTTACTTTTTGTACAATAAAAATTTCTGACTAATTAATTTTGTATATTTTGATTCTGTTTGTTTTATTTTATTGTTTTGGATTTTTTATGTAGACCAAAATATTACGAGAGAGAGAGAATTGTTTGTGAATTGAATACTTCATTATTTCTTGAATTATCTTAATTAAATGATTAATTTAAAATGATTTAAAATGTTTTTATAAATAACTAAAAGTATAATTTAAATTTTCTTAAGGGAAAGGAAAATTTTTTATACATTATTTAAACCTTTAATTTAAAAAATGTTTGTAAAAACATTTTAATAGTTTTATTTTAATGGCATTATCTGAAATATGAATATACATTTTAAATTTTATTTTTTTATGTAAATAATTAATTTATATTGTGTGAATAGATTATAAAGAGTCATATATCAGAAACACAATGTTTGTATTTCTGAATAATTTTATTCTCCAATTTAACGGAAAACTCAATTTAAAAAAAAAAAATTTATTGTAATAACTAAATCAAAAGAATATTTAAATTTAACTAATATGTATATTATATATTTCATTATATTATACAGTATTATTAATATAATTTCAACTTGTGATACTTAGATTGGATTGTTGTACAGAATCAAAAGTAAGAAAAAGTCCCGCAACAAGTTGCTTAACTTTCCTGTCAACATTTAGTGGTGCCATCTGTTATGATATTTTTCTTTTAAAAGCTGTTTTATTTTTAAGTATTATAAAGAGGCAAAAGCTTAATTTTGAGGGTTTATAGGTTTATTAAAAATTTGTAAATGATAATAATGAGTAAAATTGTCATTAAATCCAGAAATGTGACACCCAACCCCTTTATCTCCCCACTCCCTCAATCTTTAATCACCAAAATTTAGTAGCATCAATCCCCTAATAAACAAACCTCCCAGCAAAATTTTAGAAATTTTTGACAAAAAGCACAGGAGTTATTAAGCTTCAAATAGGGTGAACAAAATCGTGCTATCAAACACACTAACATCCGATATACATACAGAAAAAACCTAAATTTTTTGCATTTTTCAATATTCCAAAGTCTCAGAGTCCAAAAATGTAAAAGTCTGGTGTTTCATTTTTCGACTACTAACCATACTTTTCCTCTGTTATATATAACAAAGCCGGAAAAATAAAAATCATTAAGATTTTACTATCATAATTACCCAATATTAGAAAACATTTCTAATTTAGATGAAAAAAATGTAATAATTACCACTATAATAATAATTGAGTTAGAGCCCATATAGCCGTTGTCAACAAATAAGAATTGCAAATACTTTTAATCTTTTAATCTCACATTTATTATATTAGTGATTAATAAATAATTATATTTTACTCTTGTTGCTTTTGATCATTCATGTCTCTAATGTCAGCATTTTAATTAGTTTTTCTAATAATACAGGTTTACTTCTTTCTTTTAAAATGTCAATTTTTCAAAGAAAATATTTCCTCAAAAATTGATGAAACTTCATGGGTTAATTCCACAGAAATAACCACTGTTTTTGCCTGGACCGCATTTAATCAGAGACAGAAGCTTATCTTCACATTCTTTATTTACTTATTTACTGTGCATTTCAGGTGCATTATTCTTGCACCCTTCTTCAGGTTTTACATGTCTATAAATTGGTAAATTCGAATATTACATTTGTTATTACGGTAAATTACAACAATTTTGGTTATATTTACACAATAGTTAACTAACCTGTTTTATGTTTAGACATACCTCTGCCCAGTGTTGATGTTGTGTCTCTAAGGCATTTTTAGACCGTTTTCCCCTCTTTTTGTTTTCTTTCCCTTTAGCTCCTCCCATTTCCTCCCACACGTTGTCAACCTCCATTCCATCATTTAGGTTTATGGTTTTGTTTTTATTAACAATTGCGAAGTGCTCTTTGAAATTTTGTAGATAACTGTCTTTTTCTCTATGGATTATTTTTACACTTTTTTCATTGATTGTGCATCCAAATTCCCTACAGTGATTTGTCCATGGTTACTGGTTATAATTCAGTTTAATTGCTGCTTTATGTTCTTTTATTCTGGTACCAAGTTGCCTTCCTTTTTTGCCAATGTATATTGCTGGTTTTTTACATGTACATTTTATTTCATGTATTACTCCTGTTTGGTTTAGTATTTCGTTATTTTTAAACTTATTGGTGTTGATGTTGTTTTTAATTTTATTTTTTAATTTGGCTGCTAGTGTAACACCATGCTTATTGAAAACTTTTCTGTATTTTTCAAATGTTCCCTTAATTAATGTAGGGAAACGATGTATATGTAGTGTTTTCATTCTTATTTTTAACATTGAATTTGTTTTTTATTAATGCATTTATCCACTTTTTTAGTAATCTGCTTGGATAGTCGTTCAAGGTATTTATGAAGGTATTTATTAACTCATTTTTTTGTTTTTCTCTTTCTTCTGCCTTGGATGTTCTGTTCCAAATCTTTGATAGTGCTGTTATAAAAATATTTCTTTTTATTGTAATAGGGCTATACAACTTATAATTAAGGATTTTATCTACATTGCTGCCTTTTTTGTAAGGTGTTATATTGAGAGAGATTTTTTCATGGTTTAGAGTTATATCTAGATAATTAATTTCATTTTTTTTACTGTTTCACTTTCAAACTTAAGAGTATTGCTTAGTGTGTGTGCATAGTTATATACAGTAGAGCATCAATTTTCCGAAAGTCAATCATCTGAAAGAATTTCAGTCGGCAAATTTAAATTTTTGCCAGTGCTGTGGCGCTTCAATCTTTGGCTATGTCTTGGGCTACTCAAATATTTTACGTTTTTGATACTAAATTAACATCTGAAGTATAATTTTTTATTATTTTTATATTTTTCAATATATTTATTTTGTTTGTACAAAATAAAAAAATAATTTTTAACGATACAATAGTCTTCGTTAGGCTTAACATCGACGAAAATTCAATGCAAAGTGACACGCAACGGAGAAAAATTTCGCTATTTTTTTGTACGTAAATCAGTTATCCGAAATATCAGTTATCCGGACAACCCCAGTCCCCAATTGATTCGGAAAATTGACGCTCTACTGTATTATATTTCCACTAGTTATTTCTTTGTCGTATATTATTATGATATCGTCCACATATCTATCCATAAATATTATTCCATTTAGGTTTGCCAATTTTTTAATCTATTTCTGTCATGCATATTTCTGCCAGTTTTGGTCCAATTATTGTTCCCATACTAATGCCATTTTTTTGTCTATATATTTTTTCATCTATATGGAAATAATTATTTTTAAAACTGTATTTTATTAACTCTAGTAGCCAGCTATTTATTTCTAGGTTGTGTAGGCTTTTTTCTACTAATTCCCATTTTATTGATGGGTACATAGAAATTATGTCTAAGCTTAGTAGCCTATATGTTGGTTTTATTTTAACTTTCATTAGTTTTCTTATTAATTCGTCAGTGTTTTTTATTGAGTAATCTGAATAAAAGAACATAAAGCAGCAATTAGACTTAATTATAACCAGTAACCATGGACAAATCACTGTAAGGAATTTGGATGCACAATCAACGAAAAAAGTGTAAAAATAATCCATAGAGAAAAAGACAGTTATCTACAAAATTTCAAAGAGCACTTCGCAATTGTTAATAAAAACAAAACCATAAACCTAAATGATGGAATGGAGGTTGACAACGTGTGGGAGGAAATGGGAGGAGCTAAAGGGAAAGAAAACAAAAAGAGGGGAAAACGGTCTAAAAATGCCTTAGGAGACACAACATCAACACTGGGCAGAAGTATGTCTAAACATAAAACAGATTAGTTAACTATTGTGTAAATATAACCAAAATTGTTGTAATTTACCGTAATAACAAATGTAATAATTGAATTTACCAATTTATAGAAATGTAAAACCTGAAGAGGGGTGCAAATTACACATAAATATTGCACTTGAAATACATATTAAATAAGTAAATAAAGAATGTGAAGATAAGCTTTTGTCTCTGATTAAATGCAGTCCAGGCAAAAAAACAGCAGTTATTTCTGTGGAATTAACCCATAAAGTTTCATCAATTTTTGAGGAAATATTTTCTTTGAAAAATTGACATTGTAAAAGAATATAAAGAAAACCGCACCATTGATATAATACATATCTATTACTTCTTTCTCTTTGTACAGAGAAAGAAGTAAACCTATATTATATAAACCTATACTCTCTCTGTATTTTTATTATCATTGCATATAAGTATTTTCACAGTTCGTTTTGGAAACTTTTAGAATATAATATAAAAAATATATTTTTTCATTGATGATGTATTTAAAATAAAATATAATGATATGATTCTAGTTACTTTGTTTAATTTTATGTTATATTCTAGAAATTTTCTTAGTGATAAAATATTATTATAAAAGTTATATATTAATATTAGATAATATAGAATTATAAAATTTTAAAATATAGACAATATTTATTGTTTAATTTATTTTAGGAAACTCTGTACCTCAAGATATATATACAAGATTAAAAGTACTTGAAGATAGAATACTTTATTTAGAAGGGATATCTCCAGGTTATCTTCATGATATGGTAAATAATTATATAACATGCACAGTAGATTCTACTTGATTGGGGCAGCCATTTATAAGGACCAAAATGCAGAGAACAGAACCAACTCAATGTATTTAATTGAAATCTGCAATGCTTTTTTCAGCCTACTTTCCACTTATTCAGGACAGTGACAATTGTAATAGAACGGCAAACTACAGTCAGTTTGCCTCTAGGTACATTGCAATTATGTCATCTACCACAAGTTGCATTGTAATATGGGTTTAAAGTAGAAAATGATATTATACAAATATTCTTTAATTTGCTAGGCTTTTTTTTAACTCTTTCCACCCTGTGGGCACTAAGAAGGCTTTTATTAGCAAGCCCATTATGGGTTTGGCCAGGCCCAAATGGGGCGGCCGGGTAGTGATTGATGGGGGCTGACATATTTGGTCAGATCATCCCTTCTGGAAAACTTCCTGGGGATTTTTCAACCCGTCCAGATTCGACTCCAGGTCCCCCAGAGTGGTAGGCTGCCACCTTAACTGCTCGACCATCTGTTTGCTTGGCCTAAAAGAAGTTAGGTTGAAACAGAAATAAAGCAATTTCGGTGTCTGCTTGATCAAAGGCTGTATTCTGGTCATTGTCTCTCATCTCTGAGAGACTGTCTACGTAACAAACAGGTTGCTGACTGGCTAATTATTTGTTTACATTTGAAGAGATCATCACATCTCTCCAAATACAATTCTGGACAACTTTTCTCTCAAAGAGAATCTTTGAGAGAAAGAATTGTCTTGTTTCCCAGAAATGAGGGAGTCTTTTGACCAGTGTTTCGTCTGTTGCCTTGATTTCTTTATATCCAATATGGATGACTGGACACTACTCTCACTGTACAATCATATTGGAGAACATTCTCTCTCTCAGAAAAGAATATTTCAAGAGAGATAATGCTTCTGAGTTTTTTCCAGTACCTACTCAGGAATGCCACTGATTCCATCTTTTTTAATAATCCTATATTGAATATGATGATAATCTTATTCGTCTAAGTTTTTTCAAAATATAATCTCTTAATTTCTCCTTAACGAAGTATTTCAGCTTTTCTAACTTAGCTTATTAAAATTTTTATTTGTTAAGAGACAATTTGACATTACAATTATGATCTTAACATTATCAATCTCAATGATCTCAATGATCTTAACATTATAAATAGAAAACATATCTCTATCAAAATTATGTGCTTTATTTGAACTTGTGCTTTCTTTATCATGTAATCTATAATTTTTGCTCTGCATTTTCAAAAATTTTATAATCTTATTGGTTAAAATTCTGTACTGTGTTGCACATGCAGATAACCCAAACACATATAATCAATCTAATAGAATTATGATGTCAACAACAAAGACGAGATCATTATGAATGACCAGAATCACCTCTGTCTCATAGAAATGAATTTCATCTCTCATTTTGATGTCATTTATCTCTGAAAGAAAAGACGAGAGATAAGTGACCAGAATACACTCCCTGATTTGTTTACCCAAGGTAGTTTGAGCTGTGCAGAAGGTTTCTGGAAGAAACTGACAAAGAACTAAGCAAACCAATGTAACAGGCCATACCATTGGTTTGCATACTTAGCTACTTACAACCTAGACTTTCTAATGAAAAATAATCAAGGTTGTCAAGTTGGGCTACTTATAGTCAGTTTCAGCTATTGAAAAATTAAAAATGTTATATCTTTTATGATGTATCATAGCTAGTTGTTTTTTTTTTGGGCTATTCAAATCTATATTTGGTGATATATTGGGTAATAAAATTTGAATGTAAGCATACTATGTTGTGTTGTGGGCAAGTGGCAGTGTGTTCCTTTCTCATGTTTGCTCACCTTTATTTCTGGTGTTTTATAAAGATTGTAATAAAAATAAACATTCTGTCTTTAATTAATTTAGTTTTTAGTAAATATCTTTTTATTTTATTTATTATTTTATCTATTTATTAGACTACTATGGAAAAAGCATTTTTTAGCCTATCAGATAATGTCTGTGTAAATGGGCCAGCCACTTAATTGGACCAAATGATCTTATTCCTCAATGTGGCCCAATTAAGTGAAATCTACTATATATTTTTTCATATAATTTTTTGGTAAATGAATCTCAAACACTGTACAGCAGAGATAACAGAGACTTATCACACTGTTACTGAGAATCTCAAAATGATTTTGAAATGCATACCAGTAATAAAGTTGCATTCTAAGGATAGAAATGTTATTTTGATGTTCTCAGTAACAGTGTGATAAGTCTGTTGTCTCTGCTATACAGTATTTGAGATTCATTTACCAGTAATCATTGAAATAAGAAGTTTTTATATAATATATATAATTTTTCTTTATTTTACTGTTGTATAGTTAAACAAATAATAGTTAAATATGCCTAATAGTTATATTTCTATCTTAATTCTTTATATATTTTTTTTATCTTGAATTATTTTTGAATGGAATGTACTGTTTTTAAAATTATAGTGATTCACTAAGCATTAATTGGATTATTTGAAACTTTGATTCAGTATCTTACAAAGTAGGAACCATTAAATGATAAAATTTTTGCTAAAAACACATTCGTATATTTTGCTAAAAAATAATATAAATAACAACTTTCCGAAACCCAATGTATTGATATCAAACTAAACGATTGCAGTAATTAATCAGACTATTAATATGCTGTAATTAATAATTAGGAAGTAAGTAATTTGATACTAGAGTTAGACATTTGGCAACATCTCTTATCAGAATTAATAATTATAAAAAAGTAATAATTTAGAACCATCTGGAAGAAAAGACCTAACTGACAAATGCATAACACAGTAAGTGAAAGTTGTGGGCTAAGCCCCTCCGTGTTAGTTCTTTTCTTCCAGATAGTTCTAAATTATTTAATAAATTATTATAATTATTAATTTAGATAAGTGATGGCACCTAACTTCTACCGCTAATATCAATTAATTAGTTTCTAATTATTAATTATGCAATAATTTGGCTTAAAAAGTAATAATAAAGATAAATGATAATAAAATATTAATCATTAAACTTTAAATCAACAAATTATAAAAATTAATGAAGTCTTTTAAAAATGGAATAAGTTCTATGAATCTATAATTTGTTTTAATATTTAAAAAATATTAAAATTTTATTCAAACTTTATAACAAATAACTTTTTAAATTTAATCTATACTAATATTATAAAGAGGTAATGTTTGTAAGTTTGGATGTAGGGGGTAATCTCCGAAACTACTCATCTGATTTCAAAAATTCTTTCACCAATATTTAGAATGGAACTTCAGGGTGGACATAGGATGTATATTATTCCGTTAAACATTCATATAAATTAAAAGATATTATCTAGGGTTAAGGCTTTTATGTCCAACAGATGGCACTACGAGTATGATGACCTAAGTTTGCTTTCCTGTGAGGATGAAATAAAATGGATCATCTTCTAACTATCTATATAAATAAAAATGTAATGTTTGTTTGTTCCTACCGATTCCTTTGAAATTTTGACACAACGTTGCATTTGAATACGCACGTGTTTTTATATAATATATGTGTCGAAATTCCTCCCATTGGGGGGAGATGTAAAGGATTAAGGCTTACTGTAAAGAACTCTGCTTTTATTTATACTATTTTAGATGTGGTTTTTTGTGTTTTTGATTGCGTTTTAATAGGGTATGTCAAGAGAATGTACACTAAGAAGGAATTTTTCGAAAAATTTTCCCCTACGGGGGAAGTGTTATACATTTATATTAGATACATTTTGAGCCACAACAACGCGTGGCAGGGTCTGCTAGTAATTAATAAAGTTTCAAAATAAAAAAAATGATGCTAAAGTTTAAAAAATAATACTATTGTTAAAATATGTAAAAAGGACAATAGTTTGTGAATGAGAAAGAAAGATTAAAATATTTAATTAATTTACAAAATAGCAATAAATAAATAATTACTTAGAAAAATTATGATTTTAAGGGCATATTAGTAATTTTATTGTAAAGAATACTCAGATATTCAATGATTATCAAAATCTTTCTTAGCATGAAGCTGTAATGCACACAAATAACAAAATGTAATTTTAAAAGTTATAGCTTCTAACTGTAACAGTTGGAACATGGAAAACTTATTTGCTGATGTCATATTTAGTTATGCTAGTTAGCCTGAAAGTTCAATTAATGTTAACTTGCTTAAAATAAAAACTTAAAAAATTTTAAAATAGCAGGCAAATTTATAAAACAAACATTAATGAAATTACTAAAAAAGTTTAAATAAATTTAAATTTGATGACCCTTTTGCACGAAACAACTGTAAATTATATGGCAAAAGAAAAAAGGAGTTGAAATTGATTTTAAAAAATGTAATTAAAGGTTCAAAAAATGCAGGCAAAATTAATGCAAAATAAAATAAATAAAAATTATTAAAATTTATTATAAAAATTAAAACTAAATTAATACTAAATAAATTAAACCTAAAAATTAATTAAAGCTAAAAATAATAAAATAACAAACTATTATTCCTTGTGACATCGTCACATTGCCTGGCTGCAATTTTTAATCATATTTTTAATTTACTGTATTTAATTTAAAATATAAGTTCTTCACCTCAAATTAGTACTGTAGTATCTTGTCCCCGTGTATATATAATACTTTTTCGTTAGCAATGGAGTCGTGCCGGTCATCTATCTAACTCCTTTCAGGGGAAAATATTTGAATTGAAATAACGTGACTTTCGGTTTTCATCAGAAGTTCGTATATAGTTAATCGGAGCCTCCTGTTCCCAGTCTTTCTATATTTTGTTTGAATCTCATTTATCTAACATCTTTCTTGAGATTAAGAAAGGACAGACAGACAGACGGCCAAAAGTGGGGCATTTATAGAATTGGAAAATTAAAACAATGTTTTTAACACCTAATAGGGGCCAATTTCCCTAGAAAATCTCATGAAAGCATCGTGCCCTTTCTGTAGATTGCTTACGTGTTGTGTTGCTTTATTTCATCAACCAACATACTTATACTTCTTAAATCTAACTTATAAGTATTGGTGAAATAATAATAAAAATAAATATTTTAAGACTCTTTAATGTCTTTAAAATTTCAAAACAAATTATATTTAGCCTACCTAATTGCGCCATTTTTTTTGGATACTGTAAAAATCATAACAGAAAAATCTTCAAACAATAATTAAAAATTTCTAGAATTTTATTTATATATATTTTTATATTTCAAAAGAATAAATTAAAATTTTTAATATTTGGAAGCGTCACAGAATAAAATCATTAGCAAAATAATAATAATAATAATGAATTATCAATCATGCTAAATTAATATCATTAATCCTTTCATCTCTTGCATTTTGTGATTAATATAATACAGTATTATGATTCAAACATCATTTTAACAGGAAAAAAGTTCGATTAAAGATTTTACGATTTTCAGATTACCATTAATACTTGTAACTTAAAATTCAATTATTCATTTCTGCAAAATAAGAGTATAAAAATATTCATATTTTAGTTTAATTTAGTGCAATGATCAAAAGAAAGGCAAAACCTCCAAGGAATTTATTGGATGATGACTCTACACACGAATATAGTACATTTTATTTACAATATGTACATCATTGTACTCAGAATAGTGATGGACGTGAACAGTGAGTGCACTTGAAGGCCGAGTGTGGAACATTTTGCAACGAATGGAGATATGTATTAATATACAGAAAGATAAAATTCAAACAGAGTCACAAAATGGGAGGGAGAAATGTTCCGGAATCTTCTAGAGCAATCTTCTCTTCTGAATGTCCAGTTTGTACATTTGTAGCTGTTTATACATAAGGAGTTTATTAGAAATTAAAGCATTAAAATCATAATAGATACTAATATTGGAGAATTATTTATCTTAAAATATTACCTGCTGTCTTAGAAACGGAAGAAAGCTTTTTCTCAGTTTTACCTTTCTCTTCTATCAATGCACTCGAAACAGTTGATGAAGAACAACCTACACATTAATAGAAAATTAAATGGCAATTTTTTTCTAGAATATATTCAATATAAAGAAAAAAGAGAAATTGAAAGTAGCTTACCAGATTCTATATCACGGGATGANGCCGAGAATGATGAGAATTGCTGAGAATCAAACAAACTATTTTCAATTTGATCAATTTTCAGGAACGTTTACAATCGTTCTATAATCAAACCAATACGCAATAACAAATTCAAATTTAAAACAGTTCGAACATTTGGATGAAAAATCGAAATATATAAAAATATTTATAACAATGTCTGAAATGTTATTAATTTAATACACCTAAGTACTCGATGAAGACTAAAACCTCTCCCCCTGCGGGGGAATTTCGAAAAATCTTTTCTTATTGTGCATTGCCATGGTGTACCCCACTAAAACGCAGATAAAAACAAAAAATCGCATCTAAAAAAGTACAGTAGAAGCCGTTTTTCCGGTTAAACCTTAATGCTCTTCCTCGCCCCTTGCGAGGGAATTTCGAAAAATCCCTTCTTAGTGTGCATTTCCATGATGTACCCTAACTGTGTACCAAATTTCACCTCTTTAGGTTAAACGGTTTGCTCTGGGCAATGATGAATCAGTCAGTGAGTCATTCAGTCAGTCAGGACAAGCAATTTTATATATATAGATTTTTATATTGTACAATAAAATTAAGTTAAATTCTGGAGTTTAAAAATCTTACAAGAAATAAGATATAATCACGAACTCCAAACTGATTATGGCGTGAACATATACATTTGTTTCGTTTATGTACACACCGTAATCGGTTCGGAGTACACGATTAACTGTATCCCGGTGTGGTTGGTTGTTTGGAAGTAAGATATTTTTGTGTATTATATTATCGTATTGTAATTATTTAAATAATCAAAAATATTGGATTAAGATTAAGTTTCAACATGTTTATAATGTATTTATTTTAAGATTTAGCTTTATTAGCAAGATTAAAAGTCTGTTATTACGTGTAAATAAATACTATCTGTCAAAGTGTCCCTGAAATGGGTCTGCCCGTGGGTACTCCTCTATTTTGCTTATACAACGTCCTATTGAATGTGAAAAATGATGAAAATGTAGCCAGGTGTGCCAACTCTAGAATTTCTGTACGTAAGCTGCCTGAGTTTGTGATTTTGTTCAGTAGTATTCTATATCTTCTAGCATATGTTGAGACAATATAAATAAATGAAAAAGGATAAACAAGCAATTAGTCAGTTCTTAGCGAGGTTGAGGCCGAAGTTTTAAATGTGAAAACGTGTACATCAGACGTTCAGTACCACTTTCCCGTAAGCTTAGAAGTTTGACAATGGTGTTTGGATAGTCAGTGGAATCATGCTTGACATTCCAAACAGCATTGTGAAACTTGTAAGCTTACAGGAGAGTGGCACTGAATGTTTGACATACACATTTTTGCATTTAAAACTTCGGCCTCAACCTCGCTATTAACTTTTTACAGAATGTATGTAAAATGCGAATTCTTTTAAAGCATAAAAATACAAATTATCATCATGACATTCCCAATGACACTCTTAATATCAAAAATATGGAGCACTGATTCCATTCAACTGAGTTTTTAATATTTTTGAAAAATATTGTTAACTTTATTGATATATTATATGTAAATTTTTGAAGTTTACTAAATATATGCGAGGTGTTTAGGAAATTAATACCTTGTTAACACCCGAAATTTCATTGTGCAAAAGTAGCACGAAGAAGAACACACGATAAGAAGACAAAACAGGAATAGAAAGAAGTGAAGATGAAAGGATGTATCTAGAAGGCTTATGTTAAACTTTAGAAATAAATGGAATTTTTAGTACAAAATAAATTTATATATATATAGCAAAAAATTTTTGAATGTAAAATTTAATCAAAATGATATACTGTAATTCATTTTTATTTGTTTGAAAATTTTCCAGAAATATTTAAAATATTTTAAATTAAAAAATAATAATTAAGGAAACATATTTTATTATTATATAATTTAATAATTTAGTTATTTTGAAACATGCAAATTTTTGTATATTTTGTATGCAGATAAGGATAAGCATAATTACTTTAATTCAAATGAAAAATAGAGTTTTACAAAGTAATTTTTATACATTTCATAAAAATAACATTTTGAAATTATTAAAATGCATAAATTATAAATTTATTCCAGTATAGTCTTTTGTAATAATGTTATTCTATAATTAAATTTGTATCTAAAAGTGTTTGTAGTAAAGCAACAAAAGAATATAATTGAAAATTAGGTTTTATGATTTAAGCGCTCTAATAATTCCTGCAAATAAGAAGTTTAAATTTTATTAATATTATATTCATTATATATACGCAAACATATTTGACAATTGTGATGACGATCTTTGCATTTTTTTTAATTTAAAGAAAAAATGTCTGGTAAAAGTTATTTGAATTGTTTATTTGCAAAAGAACAAGTGCAAAAGTTTCATAATTAATTTTACTTTGTAAAACTCTTACTGAAGATAAAATTATCAACTTTTTTCCAAATGTTTTTAGGTTTATAAAAAAAACCTTTTGCATTAGAAATAAATGTTGCCTAATGAGATATGTTGGAGAAGTTCTCTGGATATTTATCTTGATTAATATTTTTTTATGTTGTTTATTATAATTATAGAAGTTATTTACTTGTTAATTAAATTTGAAGTCAATATAATATTTCTTTAATAACAAGTTTATTAACAATAAACAAGTTAATTTTGATTGAATTAAATATATATTTTTTATATTTGATTAATTTTTGAAGATATAACTGAAAAAATGTTTTAATGATTTTTCTAAAATTAAATCGGCAAAAATATTTATATAAACCCGAAATCCATTTTTTTATTGCTTTATTTAATTAAAAGTTTATTGATAACGTTACTTCTTATATAAAATGAAAATAATATTCTAAATATAAAGGACCTCATTATTTTAAATTTATATCCATATCATTTTTAAATGCATAACTTTGAAACAAGATTTATTTTACAAATCAGGTTTTTTACTGAAATTAAAAAAGAAATAATAATAATTTTTTATCTTTGATTATTTATGAAATCTAATGTTATGTTATTAATCTAATTTTATATTATGTTAAATTGATAATTTTACAAATTTTCATCAAGATTTAACTTTTTCTTATATAAAAAGTATTAATCTTATATAATTGAAACTGTTAATAAATGTATTTTATTGCTGTAAATGATTTAAACTAAGTGAAGTTATGCTTCATTAAATTTTAGTTTAACTATCCATTTACTCTATCAGATATCTTTGGTCATTAAATTGAGTAATTATAATTCCAAATATTCTTAAAAATTTGAATAAATAATGCTTTGCATAAATATATTTTAAAATAAAATTGATTAATGTCTAGTTGGGAATTAAATGATTTATGCATGAATTTCTTAGAAATTTTTATTTTATGTTTTGTACCTAATTTAAAATTTGTAATTATTCACTGCTATTGCATAATTATATATATTTTATTTTCATATTTATTATTTTTTGGATATATATGGAAAAATGAGCGTTTGAGTAATAAAATAGTATTTTTCTAGCAGATTCACATTTACTATAAATTATTTTTGATCAATAATTTTGGAATAAATTAAAATTTGATTTATTTTTAATGGAAACAGACATATTGTGTACAGATTTATTTTTGCTTTGATATTACAATGAATTTAATTATTATATGTTCATACTATAATATACAATATATATGAATTTTTAATATACAGTATGTTATATTAAAAATTCTTTTTAAAGTAATAACTGCAACAAAAAATAATAGTAGCAATAATATATATAAGAAGTGTATTTCTTTCAAGAGTCTACATATATAGTTAGTTAGAAAATTTTATCAAGGATTATGATATACATATGTTTTTTGAATAAATATATCTTTGCCTCAAAAGATTTAATTTGTTAATTCGATGATTGTTACATAATTGATGTAGTTTACTTTTTGGAAGTGACGACAATTGATTAATTTTTCTTTGACGGTCAGATGGCCGAGATGGTTAAGGCATCGGCTGACGCTTTGGGGACCGGGATCAAAAAATTCCAGTAATTTTTCATCGGGGAGTTTGTTTTGGATATATTATGCCATGTCCTCGCCACTCGGTCGAGCTTGTCGTGGGCTCGATTGAACCCATAATAGTATGGAAAAAAGGCCTTTTAGTGACTGCAGGGTGGAGTTAAAAAATTTCTTTAGAATGACAATTATTATTGCTATATTCCTGTAAAGCAGGGCTTCTTAAACTTTTTTAATTTACGACCCCATTTATGATTGTGATTTTTTTCGCGACCCCAAAAAAAAAGATATAAAATATAGATATATACAAATTTGCAAAATCAATAATGGTAGTACACCATTATTGATTTTGCAGTTCACTCTTGTGTTACAATGGAACAGAGACAACCGAATACACTGAAAAGCAACAACACTACACTAGTTCACACTACAATCGGTGTTGCTGAATTGTTGTCTCGCTGCACCAGAAGTGACACGAAGCGCGACTCACGAAACCTATGACACAAAACGTGCCATTTTCAAACTCTCACAAATTATTTTCAGTATTTTGCATTAAAATCTCGCGACCCCAAGATTTCGCAAAGCAACCCCAAATGGGGTCGCGACCCATAGTTTAAGAAGCCCTGCTGTAGAGTATAAGTGTTTTTTTTTTCTCAGTCATTAGATGTTAAATTTCTAGAATAATATTATGTAATGAAGAAATAAATGAAAGAAACTTTAAATTAGAATCTGATTTATAAATACAATATGAAGATTGAGTTGAAGATACAGTGGTACCTCGGTATACGTCTGCTTTAGAATACGTCAAATTCGGAATACGTCCTGTTTGGAAGAAACAAATTTTGCTTGGTATATGACTTAATTCAATTATATATGCCATCTATGAACAAGTAGCACTATCGGTGTACTAGACCAGACTAGACGTTCATGGTGCCACGGTTTATAACTTTGTTAAATTTCTTTTGATTTTAATTTGTAAGTAAAATTTTATTATTTTTATTAATCATGAATTGCGAAAAGGCAAATGAAAAGCAACAGAAAAATAAAAAAATTGACCAGAATCACAATGGAACTGAAAAAAGAGATTGTTGAGAAATATGAAGGTGGTATGCGTGTTCGAGATTTAACTGTTGCATACCATATTCTGTATATGACAAAATAGCAATCGTGAAAAATAAAGACATTATTAAATCTGCTAACGTTTCGAAAGGGGTTAAACCAATTTCTAAACATTAGATCAACGGTGGGCAACCCCCGGCCCGTGGGCCAGCTATGGCCTGCGAAAAGTTTCTATCCGGCCCGCGAGATGTTTAGAAGAAATTATAAATAAATATTTTCCGATGTAATTCGTCTAGTTTAAATTGAATATTATTTTCTGAAGTGTTGCGGCCGCAACACTTCAGAAAATAATATTCAATTTAAACTAGACGAATTACATCGGAAAATATTTATTTATAATTTCTTCTAAACATCTCGCGGGCCGGATAGAAACTTTTCGCAGGCCATAGCTGGCCCACGGGCCGGGGGTTGCCCACCGTTGATCTAATGTTTAGAAATTGGTTTAACCCCTTTCGAAACGTTAGCAGATTTAATAATGTCTTTATTTTTCACGATTGCTATTTTGTCATATACAGAATATGGTATGCAACAGTTAAATCTCGAACACGCATACCACCTTCATATTTCTCAACAATCTCTTTTTTCAGTTCCATTGTGATTCTGGTCAATTTTTTTATTTTTCTGTTGCTTTTCATTTGCCTTTTCGCAATTCATGATTAATAAAAATAATAAAATTTTACTTACAAATTAAAATCAAAAGAAATTTAACAAAGTTATAAACCGTGGCACCATGAACGTCTAGTCTGGTCTAGTACACCGATAGTGCTACTTGTTCATAGATGGCATATATAATTGAATTAAGTCATATACCAAGCAAAATTTGTTTCTTCCAAACAGGACGTATTCCGAATTTGACGTATTCTAAAGCAGACGTATACCGAGGTACCACTGTATCTTCAANCAATTATTTGCGAGAAAGCTAAAAAGATACATGCTGATCTCATGAAAAATCAAACAGGAACTAGCCAGGAAAGCAAGGTGTTAAAGCCAGCCATTTTTTTTTCACATGAGAATGGATTAATCATTTTTACATTACTTCTTATGGGAAAGGTTGGTTTGGTATACGTCCAATTCGGTATAAGTCCAAACATCAAGAAGGATTAAGGTTGAATACCGAGGTTCCACTGTATGTTTAAAAAATTTTTTAAATTTATTTTAATTCATTTTTTGTTATTGCAATGTTTTGCCTGGAAGCTTTGATTTGTTTTTTAAATACATTAATCAAAGCAAGTGAAATAATTAATATTTACTTTCTTCATCTGAATTTCACTGATAAAAATAAATCAATGCAAGTTCACTTTTATAATTGTTTATTCGATACTAAAATATTTAAATATCTTCATGTAAAATTTAAATGTATTTACAACAATTATCTTGACAACAATAAAAGATTTTGATAAATTTTAAAATTTATACTTTGCGGTACAAACATTATTACTAGTGCGTAAATTTAAAATAGAAAATTGTGGAAATCTTTTATGTAGATGATATAAAGTAAATAAATACCTAAATGTAATATATTTTATTAGAAAATATAAATTTCAGATATGTTTATTTGGTCAGAGTTGCATTTAGTTAGCAAATTTTATTATTTTGATCTTTCTTTTAATGTTAATTTTTAATGTTATGTTTATTCTTATGCTGATAAATAAGTTTTGTTTTGCATTGAATAAATTTTACCTCAAAATACTATAAATGAAGATTTACAAAATAAATGCTGATTTATGTTGTATGATAATATTTTAACACTTGAAATTAAAGTAAAAACATTTTTTTTAGATTAGTGACCTAAACCAGACAATGAAGAACAGACCAGAACAGTTGAAATATGCAGTAAGTCTTGATTTTAAATATAATTTTCATATGGTAAATGATATTTGATGCATTACTACATGAATATTTATCAAATATTTGATGATAGCTGTGAAAGATCAATGAAAAAGAAGGAAATTATAAATAAATTATTTTTTTTAAATATTCTCGGTCACATATAAAACAGCCATGGGACTTGTAGGCACTTTGTTACTATTGGATCTTGGATCTTAGTGTGCAACATGGACTTAGGATACATTTTGGAATTTTTATCCCATCCTCAACTATATCAGTAGACCCCCCTATAATGCTTAGATACGTTCCACGCTAATCGAATTTTATGTTGTAGGAATGATTAAATACATGAGCCAATCGCAGCCCGATAGATGTGAACTTTATGGACTAAGGCTGTTTGAAAGGTTTTCTTATATAAAATTAACCGATTCTAGACTAATTCCAGTCAGCATTTCCAAAACACGTATAATTTTTTGGGAATAATCTGTATAAACTATGCTATAAACAAAAAATTATAGGATTACTTACCGAGTGTGTACCATTTGACTACGCCGTTGCTCAAAGCTTGTCTTCCTCGCGGAACAGCACACGAAACGGCGGCCGCGATTTCTGATAAATAATTTATCGCAGAAAAATAACTTGACCTTTGGAGACATCATTAATATAAATAATTTTTATGGCCGTTGAAT